TGCCCCAAGGTCACCCCTACTTGTCCGCCGGGCGTGAGCCTCCTTATGGATGGCTGCGACTGCTGCAAGACCTGTGCCCGGCAGGTGGGCGAGGTGTGCAACGAGGCAGACACGTGCGACTACCACAAGGGACTGTACTGTGACTACAGCTCGGACAAGCCTAGGTACGAAAAAGGATTGTGTGCATGTAAGTGTCACTCACCAAAACCGACAAAACAAACAACAGATTTTACACTGCAGGTTCTATCTTATATTCTGTATTTGAGTAGAGCAGGTGTTTGCTGCCATATCAATACTGGTTGTCCTAGCAACAATACAGATGTCACTCATCCAGAATACTGATGCATTTTAATGCTGTCTGCTTGGCAGCACAGGCAGCAGTAAGCCATTCCTTCATTTTCTCTGATTTTTGTTTGATATTTCAGTATTTTGTTGTTGCATTTTGACAACAGATATTCATGTGCAGAGCTCTGTTAGCTGTTATCATAAAGGGCCATCTAGGTCATCTGTACAAGCAGCTTAGTACAACCCATATTTACGTCTTATTGTTCAATGGGAACGTCAAGTGGCCATTGTGATTATGACAGGAGCCAAGGAGGAAGTCGGGTGACGTAGTATAAAGAGCAAGAAAGTCCAGGCAGGAGGCAGGAGTTCAGGGTGGATGGATGGCTCTGTCACTACCAATCTGTACTATAAACCCGATTTGTTCAGGTCCTTTCCCCTGACCAACGGGCTGTCCTAACCATAACCATTCTAGGTCAATGTGTAACCCTAAGGCAAGCTTTTTTTTCTGGGATGGTGAAGGTATAACCCACCCTACCCTCTTACCCTAACAGATCTAACCCCTCATGCCTAAACCTAACTAATCCAGCCAATGAAAGCAACAAGTACTAACCAGTCAGAGGTAGAGTAGGACAGGTCATGCCTATGCCATCATAGGAAAAACAAATTGCAACCATTAACCTAACTATCTTTGCACATGCATAGATAAGATCAGGTTTCCAGTACAGATCAACTAGCGACAGAGTCAAACTAACACAGGACTTTCACCCAGGAGAGCACTGTCTGTGTCCAGCGTGAAATGAAAAGTCAACATTAACTTACTTAACATAACGTACTGAACATTGGTGAGGTACATATGTATTTACAAACTTAAAAGTTATTTAACAAACATATTTTAACCCAAACCGTGATCTTTTCCTAGACCTTACGAATTACTTATGGTTTCAAACCACGTGGCTTATGGTTTCAAACCAATGGCAGCTGTTATTGGTCATATATGTCTTTTTTGGAGTCATTGCAAACAATCTGTTCTGTCACTTAGGCATAGGGATGTGTTGGATATCCTGTTGAATTAAGTCACTTCAAATGCAATGACCATAATGCATGTCCATAAATGTGATGTGGGTCATATAATAAACCACATATTGGGGTGACTTGCTGACATCAAAACCCTGACTTTCACTCGTTGGGGCTGTTTACACATGGGAAATAATATCCAACTCAATATCCAACTCCCAAAATTATGCCTAAATCTAATTTAGACTATCCACTTTTCACACTGAAATGGTCACTTGTAATGTATTTTATATTTTATTGTGTTATCATTCACAGCATTGTTATTGTGTGAGATCAGCCTGAAACAATAAGTGTCAAACCAGAAACACATTCATCCTACAATGTCACAGATATTACCTCTAAGAATATTTAACTCATAAATGTTTGACTGTAATGTAGCTCTCAAGTGTTTGCAGTGTGCCTTGCATGTCTCTACAATATGTGACCGCTTGTCGTTTGTCCACCAGATATGGTGGGAACGGGCTGCGAGCATGATGGCGTGATCTACCGCAACGGGCAGAGCTTCAAGCCCAGCTGTAAATACCAGTGCGTGTGTGTGAACGGTGCCATTGGCTGTGTGGCGCTGTGCACCGAGTCCCAGCCTCCACGGGTGTGGTGCCAAACCCCACGGCGGGTCAAAGTCAAGGGACAATGCTGTGAGCAATGGATCTGTGATGAACCCAAAAGAGGGCGCAAGACGGCACCACGTCACGCAGTAGAGGGTAGGACGCCTTGGTTATATACACACTAGGGTAGGAGGGGTGATGTATTCTGTTGCTCAGTGAAGTTGGGCTTTATCTTGCAAACTCCTCTTGATCTTTTTCTTTTACACAATTCCCAATAGCACTGCCAAATCCCCTAATTTCCTTCCAGCCCACTGAAATGCATCACAGTTCACAGTCTGAAAACATCAAGGCGAGCGAAATCAAAGGGATGCTTCAAGTATTGTAAGAGAACACACAAACTAGGTAATGCGAGGGAACAAGCCAGTTGTTTTAAAAGAATCATTGTCATCGCTCTAAAAGCATGGTTATGTGAACTTATTCTTAGGTTCAGGAAGCTTTTTAAAGCACTGTGATCCGAAGTATATAGTTAACTTTGTTTATGAGTAGATGCGGTTCTCTGAAAAAAAGTTTGTCAGAGGCCAGGAAATGCAAATTATTTCCAAAAATCTCCTTCATGGCCTTTTATTTACATATATTTTCAACTCTCTTTGTTTCTAGTGGATAGATAGCTTGGATTTGATAAGTAGCAGCAGCTGTGTTTAAGATTGCCAGTACAAACATCTGCAGTTATGTGAGTACAGTGTGTAGTCCAGGAGGATCATGAGGTTTGGGTGTGTGTGTGTGTGTGTGTGTGTGTGTGTGTGTGTGTGCAGGGACAGACCAATCCTTTCCTGTGGAAGCCCTCACAATGTTTTTGGGTCATGTCCAGTTTCCAGACCTTTATTGCAGCAGTGCTGCAGAGGGATCAGTGTGAACGAAGATCTCTTTGTGTTGCATAAGGATACAAATCAGATCCAGATTACGAGGCGAGCACAATTTAAAGATTTTGATTAAAAACAGAGACAGTAGAGGCGGTGCAGGGTTCCTATGCTTCTTTTGGTAAATGCTTTTCTTTTGGGGCTTCTCTCTGTTGTCAGTTGAATTATTGTGTTGATATCTTCATTTTATGGGTTTTTATTTTGTTGTTTCAATGTAACTTTGCAAAAAAAAAATAGGTTTTTGTCATATTCAGACAGACAATCTGTGAAAACAATCAAACTCATCTGCCCACTCTGTTGCTTTGTAGCGCTTCTAACAGCCTTACTGCATGGAGATTAAATCAACAAATCAAAGCAGAGGAGTCTCCAATGCAGCTGTTAATCATGTCAATGACTCCATGAACTGTGGTCAAACTGTCAAACTAGGCAGCGCTGATCAAACATCAATCAAGATTCTGTTACTGCCTTGCCTATTTCTCACCTAAAAGGTTTTCGGAAACATATTTTAGTGTACTGTTTAGCTGTTAAATGAGGAAGCTGGTCGAGCTGGTGGGTAGTGCTTGGTTCTTTAGTTTCCAACTGGTGGCCAGGTCTCATTTTACAGCTAAACAGTACACTAAAATGTGTTTCTGGAAACATTTGAGGTGAAAAACAGGCAGTGCAGTAACAGAGTCTTCTGTTCATATTTGATCAGTGCTGCCTAGTTTGACAGTTTGACCAAAGTTCACAGAGTCATTGACATGATTGACAGCTCTGATTGGTTGTTTTTGGTGCACCACTGTAGATTCTAGTGATGCCACTGGAAGCAGTAGGGGCATGATTTTATTCAGATGATCTGTCTCATGTTCTTCTTTCAGGATAAAGTAACCATTTCAGCAAATATGACAAAAGGTTATTTCTATAAAAAAAATACCAACTGTAGCTTTAAGCTGATATGACACAGACTTTGGTATTAAACCAAGATGTATCAGTGTGTATCAACAATGAATTGTAACCAGTTGTAAACACACTCTATTTACCTTATGTCTCTATGCTGATCCAGCCCTCACAGCTGAGACCAGGAGCTGGCACAAGAACTGCATTACCCAGACTACCTCATGGAGCCCTTGCTCAAAGACCTGTGGCCGCGGCCTGTCCCTGAGGATCTCTAACGCCAACGAGCAGTGTGAGCTGGTCAAAGAGTCTCGCCTTTGCAACCTGCGGCCCTGTGAAGTCGACATCACCAAACACATCAAGGTAGTAACTCTTAAGCAGTCAAACGATGATTTAAAATAAAATTAAAATTGGATGTTATAAAGGTTCCCAGACTTTACGCCTTTCTGCTCCTTCCTTTATCAGCCAGGGAAGAAATGCCTGAACATCTACAGGGAGGAGCTGCCCTCAAACCTCACCATCTCTGGCTGCACCAGCAGGAAGCCGTACAGGCCCAAATACTGCGGTGTCTGCACAGACGAGCGCTGCTGCATCCCCTACAAGTCCAAAACCATTGACGTGGAGTTCGAGTGTCCTAACGGGATGGGATTCACCTGGAAGATGCTGTGGATCCAGGCCTGCTTCTGCAACCTCAGCTGCAAGAACCCCAATGACATCTTCGCTGAGCTGGAGAGTTACTATGGTTACCCAGAAGTCGTGAACTGACAGGCGGCAGTCAAGCTCTCTGCCCTGTGGAGGATCCCGACTTTCTTCTGGCTTCTTTTTATTAAGGAATGTTTTGTATTTGTGTGATGTGTGTGTACAAGGGATTTTCTTATGGTCTTTTTTCCTATTGGAAAAATCTGTAAATATGAAATATATATGTGTCTCCAGATTGGATTCATAAAGCATGGTGTGCTTTTGAAGAATATTTGAAGAACTACTTTGCAAATGAAAGAAAAACAATATTCAGTCAGTGAGTGTGTGAAACATTGAAGGCTTAATTTATTTGTAGCTCTTTGCATATGTCATAACATATGTAATGTTCTTGAGACGCTTTCAAGAGCGGTCAAACATTGTCTGTCTTTAAACTCACAAGCCAACCACATAGTAAGGCTTTAATGTAGATATTTTCTTTATATTTCATGAAATTAACTTTATAGTAAACATTAAAAAAAAGCAGAAAAAGACTGAGATGCCAAAGACAGAGCCTCACTTCAGGGACCACGTGTCCACCTATATGCAATAATGACAGGATCAGGGAAGATCAGTTACAAGTTTTTTTATTGTCATTTTTTTAATAAATACAAACTGTTATGTCATTTTAATGCTTTTCTACAGCATTAGACAGTTCATCACATCTTTACAAAGCTGTGTATGTGTTCTACAAAGCAGAATGTTGCTGTAGTGCAAGTAAAATACAGGAGTAGAAGGAGTCGGGTAAGTTCTATGGCTATCCTCGTGTTAACATGTGGACCGATTACTTCACACACCCCAAAAAACCACAACCACATAGGAGCATCATGTCTAAAAAAAAATTCCATGGCACATCTTTGTTCCATTGTGCTTGATTGCATAGAAATCATCATTGAAAAAAAGGAAAAAAAAAACATTTTGTCTGAAGCCATGATCCATTAATAAAGCATACAATGTAAAAGCTTTTTGAATTTTGTATTTCAGAGTGTTTTGATTAATGACAAAGCATACAGCCATGATCGTTTGATTCCTGAAAAAGATTTACAAGTTTGCCAGTGAAAAGATGAATAATCATTAAAATAACAGCTGGTTTGGGAAAAAAAACCTCAAGGGTAATGGATATTGGCATGGTGAAACAATATTATTTGCTGTATATACATGATACACTTGAAGTCTGTCCCTTAAATGTTGAAAGTTACATTGCAATTTGTGAGGCAAACTGCCCTTTTCATTGATCCAAGTGCCTCCCCATTCTCTCTCCACATCTACAACTCTGCTCCTACACACATACGACAACACTTCAGACATGGAAAATAAAGAAATAAATGATCAAACAATTACAGTGAGAAAAGAAAACAGTCATTTACAGTCAGGTATATTTGAGAAAGCTGTGTCAATATGGTAAAAATGGATACAAATGGGATGAGGGAACACAGAGATTGAAATTAAAACATGTTTTTATATGTATGAGAGATTATGAGAGATACATGTACAAGCTGGTGTAGCCACAGCTTTCTCCGACATTCTCTGCTTCGGTGTCCCAAAATGCTGCATTGCCCCTAACTACACATGCACCTGACCGAGGAGCTCAGGAGCACGCTCTGTTCAGATGTGTTTGAGTCCCTCGGACATAACAGACATACAGTTGACCCTGACGTCACACTCGTAAGACATCATATTTTTAAATTGTTGCATCTCAGCTGCACTGAATCATCTACATTGTGCGTTTTTACAATTCCAGGTTAACTATCTTAATGTCCCTCTTCACATCTGTGTGTATGTGCGTAGGAATGTGTGTGTCTGTGTGTCAGTTAGAGGCAGCGCAGCACAAACCGAAGGGACCTTGAGAGGTTTGGGTGCCTGGAGAGTTAAGATCAACTTAGCAGGACACTTCGGTGGACTTGGGCACGGCTTGGTCCACGCCGCTGTTGCCCGTGCCATCCATGGAGCCGTCCGTGTGGGAGCGACCGCGGTTCTCGGCCGTTTGGCTGCGGCTGCGAGCGCCCTCGTTGGTGTGTGAGCGGGAGCGGTTGCCATCGGCGGTGTGTGAGCGGGAGCGGTTGCCATCGAAGGAGGTGACGCTGGAGCCGGAGGCGGTGCGGGAGCGAACCAGGCGGGTCATGCTGGCAGCGGGCACTGAGGAAGGAGGGAGGAAGGATTTAGTAAATGCACTGTTGACTGAAGATTACTGCAATGCTGCCAGGAAAAAACTAAGTTACTCAAGTACATTTCTGAGGCACTTTTACTTCACTTGAGTGTTTTAATTTCTTGCAGTGTGTAGGATTAACATGGATCTATTGGCAGAAATGGAATATATTTAGAATTATATTTTCAGTAGTGCAGCCCAGAAGGGACAAACCAAACACTGACACTAGAGAAGGCCTTTTGTGTTTTTATGGTGGAGTGAAGGCCACTGTAGGCAGTCTTGTGTACATTCACACCTCACAAACACTAGCTTACAGTTCAGTTCACACAGTTTAAAATAAACTATTTCACGTTCATAGTCCCAAAAAATTAATCATTTTACGTTCATGTCATGTTTTTTTAAAGAAAAAATTATCTTGAAATCACCATTCACACGCAGATATCTATCAAGACTTGTTGGAAGCTTCCCTGGTTTGGACCCAGCCGGCACAATTTGCATAGAAAAAAAGGACTGGACTGATTTGCGCATAATAGTCCTTCGAATATGAACTTATGAAGTGGCTTCAGCAGTGCTGGTAGCTGCGTTGCCTAAAGTGCCATTAGCACTTGCCAAGAGGAGGGAAACATGTAAAACAACAGTGTTGCACTGTGTCAGCATGGGTGCCTCAAAACCAGCCTTGTTAACTCTCACTTTCAAGTTCATGAGTTGCAAAGTGATGCGTTCAGTTTACCGTTCACTTAAACACGAGCACATTAAATGGACATGCTCTTTTAGCGCAATCATGCGCAACACTGACTGTAGCTTCTCCTACATGCTTGGATCGGGAGCGGTGAGTGGAGGGGTATTCAGATGGTTGCAATCTGCAACCTAAATGCAAGATGCCACTAAATCCTTCACACTGGGCTTTTAAGAGGGAAATGTACTTTTTACTCCACTACTGCGTACATCTGAAAGCTATAGTTACTAGTTTTAAAAATCTATAATGAGCCTAAAAAGTACAATTTAATGTAACACAATAAATCAAACCACTCAAAAGTATATAAAATATGTAGAATCAATTCAACCTCAACCAACTACATTAAAATGCTTTGAATTAAATATTTTTACTCGAGTGATACTACTTGAAATCTTCATCCACTGCTGAGCATGATGATGCTGCACACTATAGTGCAAAAAAAAAAAACATCTGAAGTTGACCTTACGCTGAGTTCAAGTTAGGCCCCAGTGAGCACAAGTCATTTATTAACCAACACAGAGGTGAAGAGGAGAGTGTGGGTGAACTCTGTTAACACTCCAAAAGAATTTAAGTACAATGTTTAAAAAAATAAGTTTATGCAAATCTAACCTCAACATTCCTGAGAAGTGACCAAGGTAAAAATACTGCATGTTTTAAATACTTACTGTATCCCATGCCTTGAATGAAGTACTTGAAAGCTTCTGTCAGTTTGGCAGGCTGCAGAGAAGGAAAAAAAATGGAGATAATTAGTCCTCTTGTCATTAATTATCACACTTGTTTACATACTCTATCTCTCATCCAGCAGCTTACTGCTCAGGGTCTGAGATATGACAGCTGCTGTGAGCAGGTGCTGCACAGGGTGGAGGATTACAACCTGACAAGTGTGGTTCATGTCTGCCACTTGCTAATGCTCTTAAGTGCAACCTTCTTATGCCATCCATCCCGTCCACCTGACCCTCTGTGCCGATTATCCAGCCCTGCCCCGCCTGCTCTACAACACTACCAGTGTCTCTGTTTCTGTCGCACAAACACAGACATACACACCTGGTCCACCTGGGGCATGCCTCCGCAGTCTGCCATCTGGAGAGAGGAGGAGAAACACAGAAAAGGCTATTAGCATTTAGCATGCTGGCGCTTGTACATTCGCACAGCAGTGGGTCGACACACGCCCCATTACCCCCCATTTACACAGTCCCATTTGAACACGCCGAACACCTTGTCCCTGCCACCTCAAATCGGTGTTCCTCTAGACCCTGAACAGTTAACCCCGATAAATGGCATCCATTTTAGCTCTAATGGCCATTTGGTTTCAGCGGCGGGTCATAAAAGGTTGCCACAGGCCGACACAAGTAGGTCAGCCGCAGCAGATTGCGTGCTCAGAGGTGATACACATACGCACGTCGCCTCTGAGGACGCATACAGCTTTTCTACCCCTGGTTAATATGTCACTGAGTAAATGCTGAGCCACTGGAATCTTATCAGCTGATGCGTGTCCATCAAGGCTATTATAATCTGAATGAGGGTACGGGACATGAGGGCGGCAGATCGGAGGCCATCTTACCTTAAGCAGGGTAGTCTTTGTTGGGTCCAGCTTGGTGTTGCACTCAACCTGTGGGTACAAACAAAACACATATATTCAGTAAATTATCTTGCATGATCAGTCGTATTTTGCAGGTTGAATATATAAATTGTTGGCTAAAATAATTTATTCAGTTGGATCCCCGTTAGCCACTACTGAGATAGCAACTACTCTCTCTGGGGTCCACACACGTAAACACTGGATTATAATGTGAAACAAATGTAATTAAAAATCCAACAAAACAAAGTACAAAGCATTTAAAATGTTAAATTGTGAATCTGGAAAAAAAAAAGTACTGTATGTACGCATGTAAATCGCTTGCAATGGCTAATAGGTGCTAACAAATTGGTAATGCTGTTTGGGGGATTTGGCGTATAAATCTTTTAACCTTTAAGAGATTAAAACTACGCCATGTCACTTTAATTCTGTTCCCAACTTTGTTCTCGCTTAAATCATGTCCTCACTGATTGAACCTTGCATATCTCTTGGGCTTAAATGGGTGACTGGAGTGAATGGAAAACACGTCCAGCACAAGTTAGCTAACGGTTAACGGGGGTGGGACGTCTAATCATTTGCATTAGATCCTTGTTTTTAATGCCTGTGTGAAAGACTGAGATTGCGTATCAACTCACCACAGCCTCCACAGCAGGAGAGCTGTCTCCAACCACCAGCAGAGAAGGGCACCTGGATAAAGGAGACACACACAATAACGTATTTAATATGATATTGTGATTCATACTAAATACATGGCAAGTGATGCTGATGACTGTTGCTTGATGACAACTTACTTGAGGGTTCTGACGTTGCTGCCAGGGACCGGCCTCTCAATTTCCAGATCCCTCCGACTGTAAAGAGAAGCATACGTTACAGAAAATCTTCTTATTTTACTTAATCAAATGTTAAGATTCTGCAACCTTTAGCATCTCATGTTGTACTTAACTAAGTGTATTTCCAGACAACTGTGTTTTCTTTACCTTTCGTAGGACTTGACAAAGAGATGCAGGTTAAACTGGTTCATGGTGTTTAAGATGTGGTGGCGATATGTTCCGATCAGGTCCTGGTTGTGGTGGATCTCCTCCTGTGATGACCAAACACAAAATCTGATTAGGTCGCTGGGACCCAAAGACCTTGAAAAGCTGTGACTCAAAGAGAGTTTGAAGGTGTACCTTTCCAAAGAGGTGGGTGATGATCATGTCAGGCTCAGCATGGGTCCAGCCGCTGATCTGAAATCAGACATAAAAACTACATTTAGCTTTAATGCAGCGTTTATGGTTTTGTGAGCTCTGCCAGTCCAAAATTCTTAGTTCTTAGTAACTTCTTGTGATGTTTAAAAGGACAGTTCACCCAAAATCTAAAATATTTTTTTCCCCTCCTACCTGTAGTGCCATTTATCAATCTAGATAATAGCAGTTTCATGCAGGAACTATTTTCTTTCTACCAAACAACACCCATCACCGTTTGACCACGCAGAAGGAAGTGTGCATCTACTGCTAGCTCACTTAGCCCCACTGAGCTACCTAATGTTACAGCTCAGCCCAGGAGGACCCCATTAATATTTAAATCTCACACTGTCACGAGCCTCTCGTCCACGAGTAGATGCACACTTCTGCACAATGATACGGTTGGGTGTAGCTAAGTAGATAGAAAATAGTTCCTCCATGAAACTGCTCACAACAAGGTCTGTGGACTATCTTGAGTAACCGGGGTCATGATTTCTAGAAAGTTGAGTTTTTCAGGTGTTTTTTTTGGTGCTTTGAGCACCACAAGCTGAGTGTCATCTAGTTCCATTACATTCGAGAGAGGGCAGACATCTCCACAGCTCATACCTCTAACACTCGGCAACTCACACCGAAACAATCAAGATTGATAAATAGCACTACAACTCTTTATTTGGGGATTAACTATCCCTTAAGCTAATTATTTTAAGTTTGTTTTTTTGTTTTTTTATTTTTTTTTAAAGTTTGTTACCTTGTGTGCAGCCCAGTCCATCCATCCCTCAGCACATGGGTTGATGTTGATGAGCATCAGCCCCTCCACCATGGTCGGGTAGTCCAGCTGAAAACACGCAACACAAAATTAGTGATTTGTTACTGTAACACACAATGCCATGTTTAGCTGAATATACGTGCAAAAACTGTGTGCTCTCTCTTCAGGCTGCCAATGTTTTGGAGTATTTTAAAATCTTAATGTCTTTAATCTCATTAAGGCATATTCTGGATTAGGCTTAGTTATTTTTATGCTTTTGGACAGCTCTTGGGTTGTTCTCTGTTGCCATGCGGGTTATTTTTAGGATGTCGTTTACATTATGACATACATGTTTTTCTTTTATAATTAAATTTCTGTTTAATTTGGTGAGATATTCTGTGTTACAAAGAAAATTTCCTTCATCATAAAAAAAATGCAATAATGTACACTTCAGTTGCAGAAAAGGCTGCAGCAAGGAGTTAAAAGCTGTATCTCTGTCAGCCATGTGTCAACAGAGTGAGACTTCCTACTGAGCACAGTGTTAGTGTTGAGCTGATCTGGAACATTCCTGAGGCTTTTATGGCTCAGCAGGCTCAAGCAATAAGCAGCACTATATTGCCAAAATTAGCAAAAAGACCAAACACATTAGCTGGCTCTGCTAATCCTAAAATGATTAAAACTCATAATTATTAAGCCTGATTGAAGGGGGGGGGCTTACAGCGAATCTGGTCAGAATGTAGGCCCCGGCTCCAATGCCCATTCCGACAACACTCTTCAGCCTGCAGTCAAACATACGCGGATACTGTTAGAACAACAGGTTAGAAAAAATCTTAAATGTGAGTGTGAAGGGTTGGGCTGAAAACTGCAGCTGAACATACCCAAAGTGCTTCAACACCAGGGGGAGGGTCTCAGAGACTTGGTCCATAGATGGGTACTCATATCTAGAAAACAAAAAGCGTATTGTTCCAATTAATAATTGACAATTTAATAATAACCTCTATCTAATCACTGGCCTATATTGCTCTTTGTTTTTGATATTAGCCTGGAATAGACATCTGTGTCTCACTATCAGGTTATCTCAGGTTAACATGAGGCAAAGTCCCACCATCAAAGCCGCGATTAGTCTGAACGAGATAAACACCTGTCCCTGAAACACACTTGTCAAATTAGGTCGTCTTAAGTACATCCGCAGCGATTCACCTGCCGAGTCAAAGGTCACAGACTGTTTGGTATACATTAAGCGCTTGTGAATGGCTCACCCAGTGGAAAAAGTGTTAGCTCCCTCATGCTGCCCGGGGGCGTCTACGTGACACACAGCAAAGTGTTGCATGATCTCTGACATGTCTTCGTGGTTGAAGAGCGGGTCCCAGCAGGTTTTGTCTGGAGGGAAAAAAATCCAAATACAAGGAGTGAGTGATACTTGGCGGATAAGCAGAAATGACCTCACATAACCGGAGAATACTTTTGTTTAGCATAATGTGCAGGTGTCATGTTTCAACGGCTTACAATATTTGACACCATCACACACACACACACACACACACACACACACACACACAAAATCAGTCAGTACGCTCAGAAGAGTTTAGATAGGGTAATGTAATAGACTTAATGATATAAAGTTAGCCTGGTGAAACTTATCTGGTCCCACGTGGTACAGTAATTCAAAACACCCCAGGCTTTAGGCACAACAACAGATGTTTCACCTAGATTGAGCTGAATAAGGAGTTGAGCTTACGGTTCAGTCCAATGTCATGGAAGGTGAGGATGACTGGTCTGTCAGTCTTGGGAACCCCCTTCATTGTGCAGTGGACTCTTCCATAAGGAGTCTCCACGTCATGCTCCTAAAAATGCAAAATATGACCAAGCTTAGATACAATTCTGACAAAAATTCCAAGCAAACATATCAAGAATTTATCTTAAAGTTAAAAAACATGTTGCATATCACAGTATATTCAGCAACAGGTTGATATCTACAACCTGAATGCATCTGCACCATTATAAATGTAATTAAAATTCATCTGTAAACACAAAATAAATTAAATTAACCTTACAGGATTTTCCATTTTTGCATTTCAGTTTGCAAATGATGTGTACTATATTATTGTCTTTATTATTAACTGGTAAACATTTAATTTTGTTAATATTTGTTTTTTTTTCTTGCGTATTTTTAAACCCTTGTTACGTTGTTGTGTTGTTTTGTTGTAATACTTCTACATACCAGCACAGTGGTCTGATAGAAACAGCATTTCAATCCTCTGTCTTGTATGTATGGCAGAATTGGCAATAAAGTTGCCAATTCTGCCAAATGTATTAATTTTCTTAAAGCCATTAAAATGCTTTCTTTCCCTCCAACCAAACTACAAAACAGCCAAACCATTTATTATCTATCCACTTGTTGACATCCAGTCCCTTCCTTCCTCTAAGCCACAACACAGACATCTAAAACTATTATCTATCCAGAGCTGACACCTGTTCCACAACTCCAGCAGCGAGCATAATCCCACAATTCACTGGAAACTACTCAAACATTTCATTAAATCCTTTCGTCTACTCACGCTGACTTCAATCTCAGCAACAATCATTTCCACGTCAGAATCCTCCAGAACCATGTTTGTAGGAGAGTCCAACTCTGCGTGCTAGTGAAACAAGTATAGACGCTGTAGTGGCTCCCTGAGCTATAGATCCAAATGCTGGTAAGCCTCTAAAGTTGTTTAGCCCCGCTCTGAGAGCTGGGTTTTATACCCCCGCTGCTTACCAGCTGGCCTAAGCCCCCAGCCTCCCATGGTGCCTTGCAGGCTGGTCAAAACAAGCTAACTCTAGATGGAGAGATCCCTAAATTGGATCAAGCAATGTCAGACAGAGAGGGCATTGGCTACTGCGTTGACGTGATGAGTACGTATGGGTGCGTGATCAGTGGGAAAACATGCTGGATAGATGAGAGGGGAAAACAGCAGCCATTATTCGGTGACATGTGGGAAAACACTTCCAAAATAACAGCTGGACTGAGGATCCTTTGACTAAATCCTCAAGTGTGACACAGCAGCAAAAGCTAGAAAGAGCTTAAACTTTTAATGACAGTCATCAACAACTCCAAAAAAACACTCTGACTGATGTAATAAGGAATACAGACAGACCAATATGTATTTCAATATCAAAGTTTAAATTCTAAATGTGTGTATTTTCCATAGGTGTAGATTTCGAGAGGGACACGCCCGCCTTAGTATTTCGAACATATGCATTTACCTAATCAATAAAAACATGATAGTAGCAGAGGACTTTTGATGAAATTTAGGACATTTCCACCATAAACAAAAAATTCACCAGAATGCAGGAAATTAAGTGTCTGAAACTCAAAATGTCCTCATAGAGGAACCTAAACCAAACACTGTTGTTATAGAAGAAAAATGCTTGCGATACATTTCTGTATTTTCACCACAAAAATCAAACTGTTTGTGTGCAGACTGAATCCTACAAAAACAAAAACGCCTGCCCTATAGTAACCTGACCTGTAGCTTTAGCACTCTGTACAAGATGACCTATTGGATGGTTTTCAAACCAGTTTTGACTGCATGGGATCTGCCCTGGAGGAAAATCCAAGCAGACGTATAACCTATTTACTGGGCACCGAGTAAACATCTAAGGATTCACCACGCCTCACTCCACCCACCCTCCACCTCTACTGGACACACTCCCGCACATAGGCTACACAGGCGAGATAATCCTGTAAGGCGACATGTGTAAGTGCATATGTATTTACTATGAATGTCAAGCGTAAAGCACTGATATTGCCACCCCCAACTCATCCTACGTCACTAATAGTTGGAAGCTTAGCTGCAGCAGCGATATCAGACACTTGCCCTGGATACGTCAGGTCATCTAAGCTGTCAGTGTGACACCAGAAGGGCAAATTAGCTTTTGAGAGAGCTTCGTGAAATATATCCACCCACTAGAAAACCCCCAGCCTCACACACTCTGATCTCTCAGACTGGAGCCACTGTGTCTGAGGCAAAGGTGGGAGAACATATTACTCATGCCAACACTGTACCTTTTAGATCAGCAGGTTGTTTTACTGACTGTGAGGGTCTGAGCGCTGTCCAAGGTGCTGAGAGGCCCCCAGACTCAGCAGCACCCATATACCATCCATAATGTGTGTGTGTGTGAAGTGAAAGGGTTGATGCACTGTAGCTGTGTCATCTGTCCAAAGTGTGTTTGATCACTTACAGTAGCCGACTGAATTAGTAGACGCCCAATTGGATTTCAGTGTTAATAAAATCACAGCGGATGAATGGTCATCACCAAGACAGATGAGCCGCTGCAGCAACTATGTTATTTAGTATTTCTTATTATCCACCACTAGATGGTACCAAACAAGCTCAAATACTAAGATATAGATTAAAACCATCTGCATACACAGTCAGTAATCAAAATCATCTGTCGACACAGCTTTAAATAATAAAGCTGGCTTTACAGCTGGCGGGAATGATGAATGCTGGATGTTATTTCGTGTGTCTGCAAACGTACCTTGACGACGAGCTGCAGCACAGCCTCTCTCAGGCCCTGCGAGGAAAGAACAGAGTAATGAAAATACACAACTAATGCAATTACATTGTAACATGCTATAATCTAATATCCTGAGGGCGCCATCCTGTCACTGAATGTATTTTCACATGCGTACAGTGTGTCCTGTGTCGTGTGAGGCACCGAGTTTCATTTCAACTGTACAACTTTGTAGTTGTGGACAAAAGGTCAGGAAACCTTCAGAAGTTGTGCTGCGCAGGTACTTTCACACAAACCAACTCGAGTTCACTCATTGAGGTCACTCACTCATGATTAGAAAACTCTTTCTTTTTTCCACTTTTAAAAGGAAGATTATGTTTTAACTTTGGGCGAGGCAAGGTATCAACATTATAGTGATATTGTGATATGAGACGAGATATTGGCTTAGATTTTGGATATCATTATATCGTAAGTGTTGTATTTTCCTGGTTTTAAAGGCTGCAAGTGATGTCATTTTCTGAAGTTACCAGACTGTTCTAGCTGTTCTATTATTTGTTTTTACCCATTCTGTCATTATATCCACATTACTGATAATTATTTATCAAAAATCTCACCAATCGCCAATAATCAACCCTACAAAATCTTTGTAATATATTTGGTAAAAAATATTGTGATATTTGATTTTCTCCATATCACCCTGCCCTCATTTAACTTCCATTTATCTGTCTTTCTATTAGTTAGTGTTTTATTTATTGTTATCAATTAGGGTTGCAACAGTATGAGATTTTCACGGTACCATAACCGTCTCAGAAAATTTGTATTTCTTCTTTCCTATTCCATTTTTGTTTCTCTTATTTAACCTTATCTTATCTATCATTTATTTACTCTTTACCCCATAAGATCCTCTGGTTTCCTACCTCACCTGCACATTCTCTAAACCACTGTCTATTTGGAGTGATTTGTACTGAATCTATAATTTGTGCAAATAAACAAAACAAAACAAAACAAATATCGCGGTTTCACTATATCATGGTATCACAGAATTTACAGTATTATCAGTCAGAATGACCCTTAAGGGAATGAAGGCTTGCTGTTGGTTGAACAAATGTTTTATTACTATAACTAAAACCTGAAAAAATCTTGTTAATGAGAGTATGTGTAAAAAAAAATCTCCCTTTGAAAATAACTAAAATAAAGTTGAGTTTCTTCATCCAGTGTCACTTTTTACAACATCATAGATGTTTATATCAGCATATACCTTGAAACCAATACATCGCTGCAACCCTATTATCAATATTATGTTGTAGATCCAAATCCAGGTCCACAATTATGACTAGCTAATTGTGAGATTAAGCATTTTATTTCTTTTTTTTTTTTAGTGAACTGCTACATTTACTTAAATAAAACAAACCCAGTACATATATCCCATGACTGCATATCACTGTATGTATCTTAACACAAATCCAGGTGAAGAATGAAGTATTTATAATCATGTTTATTTGTGCACAGCACCTGTGTTATTCGTTTAAAATGTGCACAAATTCTTTCACGCAGCAATCTGATTGAACCACAGATGTACTGATGAACCCCACAAACAACCTATATATAAATCATGCAAAGCTGAGCAATATAGCACTCAAGCAAGTTTCTGAGAATTCTTTCCAGACACTATTTGTCTTGGCTCTGTTCAGAATACATACCGGCAGCTCCCTGTCGACCAGCAGGGGTTTGGACTCAACCTGGATGTCATCCATTTCAAAGAGTAGCAGAGCCTGGGTATCAGAGAGATCAGAATGATTAGTCCGTGACCGGTTTAACCTGTGTTTCAGACTTTTCCAAATGGAAGACGCTTCAGGTTATATTGGATAAAGTGTGGGGAAAAAAAGGGCTTGTACAATATTTGACGTTCCCAGACTTCAGAAAACACACAGGTGTGTTCTTTTAAATGAACTAATATGTTAGCATTTTACACAAGGCCCTTTTGAAAAGGTGTGGCAAAGGTTGACTTGCAGACAATAAAATGAAAGATTGCTTAAACTTTGGGGTGGGTGTGTTTCTTATTTACACAAAGCTCATAAAATGAGACAACAGGCATGATCACACTCACGTACACACACACACTACCACAAAGGAGTAGAGACACATGAGCAGGCAGAGACTGGTGTTCTGACCTGCACTGACATGTGGACCACGTAAAGGGCCACACCTGTAAACCACTCACAACAGAGACACACACACACACACATAGAGAAAGTCTCACAGACAACCTGGAAGACAGGGTACACAGGCAGGCAGACTTGCGTGTCTCACCAACAGATAAAAAGAAGGTCGAGTTGAGGAGGGAGAATAGAAGAAATGTAATGCCACACCCAAGTGTCGATACATTTGAGTTTGACGTTGATATTTGTTTGAATTTAGGTTATGATGTCGGGTGACCAGAATTATATTAGCATATTTCTTTTACTTCTACTTTGCAAAACATTGTAGTTGCTGATCTACCGCTGCCTCGGTTGGTTAGTGTCTTAGGCAAAACTGAGATAAAATTCTAAATTTAGTGTACACTTACACTCATATTGATTTTATACATGGGTCTTTTTAGGTGGCTAAAATACGTTTTGCTCCCAGACTTTTACTGTGGCCACAGCAGTGTATTGTTTAGCCTTGTTCTTTGTAGATTTGGTTTATCAAAGACGCAACACAGTATATAAACAACAAGCATTAGAAATGTCAAATAGATCAGACCTTTGTGTCCTTCTTAACAGACACAAAGGTCATTAATCATTATGGCTGCAGAAATAAACAAGTTCATAGAGTTCACATATCTCTTCAACTCAAATAAATTGCCAGTTGTCAACCAGGAAGTGATGTTATTAGTGCGATATCTACATGATTCGGACTATAAGGTGTGTGTTCTTTATACTATGACAGCTTTCGCAATCGCAATATATCACCTTGCTAATAGGGGTGTAACAATCCATTGATTAGGATCGATATATCGATTCAATGATAAGCGATCCAATATCATCAATCCATATCGACCATATCTTTAGCACAGGCTTTTATTTTGAAAGTCTGTGTCACTGTCAAACAGCGACAGGCAGAAAGCAAGCAGCCAAGAGAAAGATGAAGAGGATAATGTTATGTACTCGTTATGTACAGAGCACAATGCGGTACCTAAACAATGCTGTTAAGACAAAACACAACAAAACATGACATAACATTACCGGCCTGGGTAACCTCTCACTACAGCAACATTAGCTGCTCTGTCCCAACAGTGTTCGGCTGAAAAAAACAACATGCATGCAGACTGAAATTCAACCGAGCTGTTCTGTCAGTAGATACAGTCACTTAAACAAACAGTGGGTGAGAATAATAATAACGCCACAGGTCATTTGTTAAGCTGTGAGTGGAGGAAAAAAGTCTGCTAGCCGCTGGGCTAATTTATGCAATGTAAACATGCTAAAGATGATAATGGGTGACTAGCAAAAAACAATTGTTTTTAGTCTCTAAACCTTGACAGTTATTACTGAGCTGAATTTTATACTTGTGTTAAATAATGTTGTTGATCCATGTTTTATGGCTGTTTTGGAGAAGTTTGCCTTGAGGGCTTTCAGCCAGACAGACCTGACGTTTTCAAAAACAGATGATGGTTTGGGTTAAAATGAAAAGATCTCTTTCAGAAGGGACTGTCTGGCAGAAAGCCCTGAGGGTTAACTTATCCCATGTGCTGCTTTATGTGTGTTAGTGGAGTTAGTCTAAAGTAAACTTTGCTGCACTTAAGCAGTTGCAGTTACTTTTTTATGTGTCTTTTATGGTCAAAAGCAAAAGAGAAAGGGGTGGCAGCTACTTTTCAATCAATCAATCAATCAATTTTATTTATAAAGCCCAATATCACAAATCACAATTTGCCTCACAGGGCTTTACAGCATACGACATCCCTCTGTCCTTATGACCCTCGCAGCGGATAAGGAAAAACTCCCCAAAAAAAAACCCTTTAACAGGGAAAAAAAAAACGGTAGAAACCTCAGGAAGAGCAACTGAGGAGGGATCCCTCTTCCAGGATGGACAGACGTGCAATAGATGTCGTACAGAACAGATCAGCATAATAAATTAACAGTAATCGGCATGACACAATGAGACAGAGAGAGAGAGACAGAGAGAGAGAGAGAGAGAAAGACAGAGAGAGAGATGCAGGTAATGACAGTAGCTTACAACAACATTATTGAAAGTAATAATATTATAGTTATAGTTCTGGCTACTGTGGTACAATATGTTGAAAGTATGTATTAATATCTGGCAGTATACATGTGTGACAATAGTCATATGTGTATAATAACAGTAGAAGTATGACTAATGACTAATGATAGCAGCAGCAGCAGCAGGAGGCATCTGGCAGGACCACGGCAGCAGCACAACCACACACGTCACGCTGTCCAGGCACCGCTGTACTTTTGTAACTGACTGTGTTAAATGGGCAGATAATATCGATCACAGGCCCCTAAATCACATCGAATCAAAATCGTAGACTTTGTAAAATCGGCAATGAATCAATATGATATTGTATCATGACGTCACTGGTGATTTACACCCCTACTTGCTAACAGTATCGCAACACACTGACTCATAATGCCTGTGTTGTGATTCATGTCGTATTGCCAGATTCTTGCTGATACACACCTCTCTACTGAAACATGCCTAAAATACTGCATTGTGGCCAAAGTCATCTACACATGCTTTCTGAAGGCAGAGAACTCCCAGTGCTAAAAACTGAATCCGTCCCTCCCTGGTAATAGTTTCAAGACTGGGAAAAAAAGAACAAGAATGTTCTGTCCAGGAAGAAGAGAGGGAGAGACAAACAGAGAAACCTAAAGAAAGAAAAAGGGGGGGGGGGGGGGGGGGGGGGGGGGGGGGGGTGAAGAGAAGCCAGGCGCACAGACTGTGCTGCGGGTCATGCTGGAGGAGAGCGGGCAGGCTGCGGCCCTGCATGCAAATCAAATTAGCCAGTCAAGAGGGCTCTTTGTCCACTGGCACCGGTGACTCCTGAGAACCAGGGGCCTGCCCTCCTTCAGTGACCCACACACACAGGAAGCAACGGACACCCTGGTTTCCATCAATACACCCCAGCCTCTTTTCATCCCTCTGCTGGCTTTCTCTCATTTCTCCCTTTTCTCTGTTTGTCTTGGTTTCTGCTTGGTTTCAGTTGCTATGTTTGCTCTTTCCAGACTCAGTCCATGTGTTTTGTGCTCTCTGTCTCTCCGTTTGTCTTTGTGCACAGCCACAAGAGACAACTAATCAACATCGACCTACAGGACTGCAGTGTGGCTGTCGCAGTGAGAGGTCTTTCAGAGGAAATGATTAATCGCACTTCAAATGTGGAGATGTCCGGCAGAACATGCCTTGGACACACACACGCACAAGCACACACATGCTCCTTTGACTGGGAGAAAACAGACCGGAGCCAACCGGATCTCACAATAGCTCTGAGGAAGAGGAGTATCAAACAACAGGTTCATTTTTCTGCCAAGGCCTTCAAAAACATGGCCGCCATCGCACTGCAGGAGCTTTGTTGAGGGGGACAAGAGGTCAGCCCCCGTTGAGATTCCACAGCCATGTGAGAGAAGTCATGTCCATGATGTTGAAAAATGAAAGGCCGTTTCAGATCGGGAAAATGGAGTGAAAGAAATCAGCTCATGCTTCAACGTGGGGGAATCCTCTAAGCCTATTTTCAAGTCTATTTGCAAACACTGCTATGTAAAACCTGACTGGAGAGCTCATTAACATTGAAAGCAGAGAGCAGACTTCCTCTGAACTTGGCCACCTTCACCACATGTTCACAGGTTGGCAGCACAGGGAGAGCCTGGCTGGGGAGCAGGCTGAGGCAACTAGGTCACCTGCTGTTTACACCAAGGGTATGCCTGCTCGCCTCGCTGAGCTAATGTTTCACCTGGTCAAGAGGAGCGCAGGGAGGGCGTTGTTTTAGTTCAACCTCACAGGAACCTAATCCCAAGCAATGAGATATGAGTACTCCTGTCTCGGCACGTCTTATGTAATGATTAGTCAAAGTAATTTCATAGACGTGGAGTTATGTCAAATGACTGCCATGGAAGAACATTCAAAGTAAATTAGTTTCGTTTATCAGATATGCCTAAAAACAAAATATAAAAACGGAAGTGTTGTGTGCTGCTGCTGCAACGGGGGCTCTCGTTTAACTGGCTCCGCTCCAAATCTGGCTTGGTGTCATGGCATGGCAACAGTCACACATTGTCCTCGACCAAGTCAAACCAGTTTCTACATGCATATTCTCTATTGAAACTAGTGTGTGTGTGTGTGGTTTTTTTTTTCTTTTTAGAAAATGTCAGGCTGTGGGGAAGAAAGCAAACTATTCACTGAGACAGCTCTGGTCTGGCAGAAGTGAGACTGTGTTATGCAATCACGAACAGGAAACAGTGGGAGGATATAGGCCCGGGATGATCCAAAATGTGTGGTCCAAAATCAGCTGCATGAATAGTACACACTCTATACTTTTCAGTTTCACTATTTCTGAAACAAGATTTGGAAGTAAACATTTGTTGGCTGACAACATACACTGGGCTCTCCATGCTTGTACCATCTAATTGATAATCCACTGCGCTTTCGACTAACAATAACTCCTATGATTAGGTTTTACATGTTGATTCCTGAAAATCTGACTTTTGGAAAATCCAATGTTTTCACTTGACAGCGTGATAAAGTGGCTTGAGCTCTAGAGAAAAACAACAACACTGATGCGGGCCTACATAACACATTAGTGCGTGTACCGCCACTGCAAATCCAAAGATGTGACACACAATTTAAGCCAGAACATCCAAGTTACAAAACTGCATGAGCCCAAACTCTTTCTCTGTTCACTGAGAGAGAGAGAAACATATGCACTGATTAGATTTGAACAGTGAGTCTCAATTTTAGGGAGTCAAAATCAAGGCCAGGCCATCCTTCCTCCATTGCCTCCATATAGATTTAAATCCACGAGTCCGCGGCTTCCATCTGCAGAAACAATGATTGCTTCCCTAATCTTTGGGAACTCGCTTAATCTGTCAAATCCCTGGTTCGGAAATATCAGCACAGCGGCAGCAGGCCCGCTGGACTAAGCTGTCACAGACCTACATTTTCAGATCGTAAAAAGATATCGAAAATGTGGGTGTCTCCACTGCTACAGTGAGTTGGAGAGTTAGGGGGGGTCAGGGTGATTTGAGAGGATCACACCATTACTAGTTCAAGCAGCTGGTGTTGTTTATCATGGGATGCATTCTTCTGTATCAGCACTGCAGACGGCAGTCAGCAGACCTCCTCAGATCAGGTTCATAATCTTTCAGATGGGATTGATGCTTGGATTTGACTCAAAATTTGAATTAGCTGGAAAAAAATATACACACGCTGAAAGCAGGTCAGGATGCGGAGTTGTTTTAGTAGCAGCCAGCAGAAGACAGGCTAAATTAATAAGCATTTTTTCATATTTCGACTTAGCCAGTTGCACTGTCCCCTCCCTCCCTCCCTAGCCCCTCTTCCCCGCCCACCCTCCTGCATGTTGTTGTTTGTTTTCTTTATATCAAGGCTAGAGAGCAAAGAGGATTTGTTATGCAATTATGGCTCTCATAATATTTACAACTTTGTCCCCCCCCCCCCAAAAAAAGCTTGCTGCCTTTGTGTGAGCATGCCTCCAGTGTCATGTGTGAAAAGCAGTGTTTATTTATGATCAGGTCCCTGTACTGACACACAGGATGTGCCCTGCCTTGCTAAAAAAAACTGCATGCATAGGTTTAGATTTCAGGGAGACACGAGGGACACATCTCCCTCAATATTTAAAACCTCCCCTATGATAAAAACATGGAAGTAGAAGAGGACTTCATAAAGACGGTTACACCATGAACTGGTGCAGAAAAGGCACAAATTGGTGCATAAAAATCACCCGAGAACAGGAAATGAAATGTTTGACACTCAGAATTTTCTGGTGCCCCCCTTTTGATATGTGCCCCCCTCAATGTTGAAAAAAAAAAACTACACCCTTGACTGCATAATTTTAAATACAAAAACACAAACAAATGCGCGCCCAAAAAGTTCATGCACATGTAGTAACTCTTGTTTTGCATTTCCTCATATGCACCAAAACACATTCTGAAAATATGAGTTGCTTTGCTCTATGTGTTGGCCTTTTCTATTGATTATGCTTGAATAAAGTTGGCATATCTCAACTGAAACTTAAAAACTGTGTTTCAGTGGAGTTACACTGCCAACGCAAGAAAAACAACGTGCTCCAAAACTACCACGCAACTGGGAAGTGAGCGCCCAGTTCCCCTTGTAGAATAACTCAAACAGCTGTATCATTTGGAGCAGAAACCTACCTGTGGTTTAAACTTGTGATTGTCCTGAGATGAACACTCCCGAGATGAAAAAAAGTCCAAAAAGAAAACTTTTTCTGTCTATTCAAAGAGCGCAGATTGTAGCAGTGTCGAGCAGAGGCGTTGCTTTGTTTATAACGTGCAGCACAAGGCGGATGTCTGAGGGAATTTTTTATAAAGCCTTGGGGGTGTGCAGCCCGGCCCACTTTCCGCCGCTGCTCTCTCTATTGGGCGACGGCAGCTGTGAGGCCGATAACGCTACACTACTCTTTCCAGCGGTGGCATGATGAGGAAGCTGATGACAGCGACTCGTGGGTGAAAAATACTCAGGAAGAGTCGATTCCCTGCTGCATGACACATTTCCAATACTGTCACAGTGTTGCCCAACTGCCTGTGGATTCATAGTGACTTCTAACGCTCCTTTAAGCGCTCACTTTTCTCTTCTAAATCATTTCCCATATGGAGATAGGGAGGTGTTGCTTCACACTGGTGCAGACAGAACAGTTAAACTGGGAGTGAGAAGTGTGGGGTTTCATTGTTGTCACCCTGCTGTGTGCTTTGTGACTGTGTCATCTTTACACCTCCTGATGTGACACTTTATTGTCATGGTTAGGTGGTAATTAGTTGGGTATAACAGTCTGGAGCTCCTTCTCTCCTCGATGAGCCGACAGGGTGTGGACAGGAATCTTGGCAAGACAGTTTGTCTTTTTTACATCAGTGCACTGAACATTATAATTCTCCCCACTCCAACTGAGGACTAGAAGGCACACTGGTATTTTTACACTTTTGCAATCCAAGCAATGGCTTTTTTTTAAAGATGGGTTTGAGGCATTGTTGGCTGTGATTGTCTGAAGGGGTTAGGAATGCAGCCAGGCCTGCAACCTTGATTTGAGGCCAAGAGGAGATCAGTCTGTACAAAGGGAAGCCCTTCCCTCTCCTTGAATCCAACCGCTTTTTCTTGATAGCACACTTTGTCTGATCAAAGTTAGCTTGTCTTACAGAAGCGATAATCGATACCACAGTTTGCTCCTGTGTGAGCTGTGATACAGATGTTACAAGCATGAGATACATGTTATCTGCAACAATCCCCTCTACAAGTAACCTCAAAGAGATATCATATCTGAAAATAAGGCTGCATAACCATTTTTTTTGTTTGACACCATTTCATAGCACACGCACACATGTAATCTGAGGTGTGTGGATAAATGCAAGCCAGCATCTTCTAAGCATGTTGTTTGTGGTTACAGATCTATTTCACTTACTAAGCATCTACTAAAGTGCTGTGGAAATTTCCACACCTGCAAGAGGCTGACTGTACTGCGAATCTGCCAATAAGTGCTAGTATTGGCAATGAGTCTGTGAAAGGTCCTTGTCAGGACACAATAGGCGCACTGTGGGCTTGTAATGTGAGGCCCACGATAGGAACACGTCGGACAATAGGCGCGTTTGAGGGGGAAAATATAACCACTATGCTAATGAAACGGTCAGTCACTTAGTACAAAACATGGGGAGCAACACTGATGGACGGATGTCAAAACAAAAATTTTCTTATACATCTGCATTAATAAAAACACTACGTAATGACATGTATGCATGTGTGTGAATGAGTTCCTGACCCTACAGCTACTGTCCAGCTGTTATTGTGAAACTAAGATAGCGTTTGCGGGCCTGCCAACTTTGAGAGATTTAGTGCAGCATACGTGGGTCGCAGAGTGTCTCAATACTTGATAAAACCAGCGGACTTTCACCGGGCTGATTGCAGTGTTTGCTGTCAGCCTCTACAAGGCATATCAAATGAGGCCAGAGCTCCTCAGGTCCACAAGGATGGACTTCCCCTCTTCACACAAAGCAACTGATACTGTGAGGAACCTCTGGGTTGATTCTCTATGGAAATGATTCTGGTCAATAAATCCTTTTGTAGAAAAGATTGTTTCCAAAACCTCAGTTTAAGGTACTGCATGGGTGTGTACGTGTGTATGGTATGTATGTTCTTCATACACACACATCAGCTCCTGTCCTGCTAAAGCCCAGTCAAGCCAAAGTGAGATAAAAGAACTGGAGGACTGCTGCGTTGCCTCACATTGCCTTTGTTGGTCAAAAAGTTGTACCTGAACACACCGCAAAGACTACAGGCAACAGCCAACCAGCAAGTAGGTTCTGTGCCTGCATGAGAGGAAATAACTCTCCATACTAGCAGGCAGCGGTAGTCTGTATTCGTCATTCGAACGGGAAACCAGAAGGCTGACAGGTTGGACTCAAGATGCTAGTTATCCGTTAGTACATTAATGACACAACCAGACACTGAAAGAGCGAAGGATATTTACCGTGTGCTAGCAAACAATAACTCAAACAGTTACGACCATTTTTGCTGATGAGCTTAATGGCTAAAAACATCATCTTACCTCATAGAACAACTTAATTTCAACCTCAGACCCACTTGACTTTAGCTCTTTGTTTACTTTCCTCACTTCCATTTCTCTTCTCGTGCACTTTGCTGCGAGTGATTTCATTCATCATCTGGCTTTGCCGTCACTGACATCGATTCACCATGCTGCATTGGATTAAACAAAGCCAATGAGGGCCAGCAGAGTGGGACATATGCTCACCAACGGCCTGATATTGAACAATGGCTGACCATTGGCTTGGTGTGTCAGGGCCCTTTCAAACAAAGTTTGTGTATTCAGTACATTTTTATGTACGTTACCATATTCTTACTTATTACCTCTCTTTGCCATTTCGATGCTGCTTTGTTTCTGTATTGATAGTATGCCATTATCGTTATATCAGAGGTGTGGACTTGAGTCACATGACTTGGACCTGAGTCAGACTCGAGCCACAAATATGATGACTTAAGACTCGACTTCACAAAAAAAAAAAAAAAAAAAAGCAACTCGACTTGGACTTTATGACCAGTGACTCATGACTATACTTGGACTTGGGGCCTCTGGATACTTGATACCTTGAGGCTCATATTAGCATGGTTAGCGAGCTAATGTGAGTGCTATGAGCTAATTGTGGTACAAGTTAATAGTGCAATGTCAGCACTACTTTTTTATGATTATGTTCAGTCACACTTATTTAAACAAATAAATACAAACTTTAAAAAGCTCCTGATTTTTGTTTATTAAAAATGCCATTTCAGCGAAGAGGCGTATCATGACTTCTTCAGGAATTTAAACTTGCCTGTCTTGACCTCGGACTTCAGTGCAAAAGCTTGAGGCTTACTTGTGACTTAACTTGTTCCGACCTCTGTGTTATTGTAACTTCATATCTAGTCATACTGTGTTATCTAGATTGTATGTAAAGATAAATAAATCATTGGATGAGGTGGAGTAAACAGTTGCGTTCTATAAACAGAAAGACTAAAACAGAAATATATTGTGCAACTAAAACCTTCAAGAACATTAGAGCAAATTAGAGCCTGATAGTTGTGTCTGTCACATGCCTTGGTCCTCTTTTCTTCCTCTCTTTCTCTAATACAGTAGGTCTAAAATGTACATCCAGACATAGCATTAGCTGAAACTGTCTCATGCTCTCTGTTTCTGCTCTCTGCCAGTCATGGGTCACCCAGTTAATGTGTGTTTGATCTCTGAGTTCATGACCACAATGTTCCTTGCAAACAGAGCAGATAATAAAAGACAGACATGCAGCGCTGAAGGCCAAAGCTCATTCATTCTACTGACTACTGCTGAATTCTGTGGCAGCAGAAGTATTTACATGAAATTTAACATCATTACAGGCTGTTTCCTGACTCCTGCTTGTTCCTCACATATTTCAACACACACGCCCATCCCAAAGTCTTTGTGTGGCCCTCCTTTTCATTCAGTCAGTCGTGACAGCCACAGTGATGCAATAGGCTTGTAACAGAAATGTGTGATTCAGACACACATGACATGAAATGTGCCTTTCAGTCACGTAGTAAATGGTCTTGAAAATGATGTGAATTTGTGACCAATGCAGAAAGGTATGCATAAGTGAAAAGCAGGACATCATTAATGGTGTACCGACAGTGTCTGCTGACCTCAGTGGTAAATATTTACAAACATTTTTTTAATTAACACAGAAGTTGAAAAGTTACTTTCCAAAGTTACATGTGGGGTCCAGATGAATCATTACTTGCAGTTTGTGAAGGCCCAGACACACCAAACTGACATCAAAGAACAAGTGTCAACAGAGGCCAACTGTTGCGTCGCCTAACGTCTTAGCCAAAAAATTGCACATGAGCACACACAAAGACTACAGACAACTAGCATGTCGCTCTGTGCCTGCGCGAGAGGAAATAACTGTCCACTTAAAAAGGGAACTGGAAGAATGATGGGACGGATTCATGACGCTGGTAGCCAGATAGATATTAAAGAGCACAACTGGATGTTGACAGACCAAAGGGTATTTACTGTGTGACAGTGCACAATAACACAAAGGGAGCATATCTATGTTTCCAGGGTTCTATGTTTCCCGGGTTCTGTGTTCCCCACTTAACCCTGCAAAAAAAGGTTCTATGTTCCCCTCTTACACAAAAAGGTTCTATGTTTCCCGGGTTCTATGTTGCCCGCTCAACCAAGCGGGAAACATAGAACCCTTTTTGTGTAAGCGGGGAACATAGAAGCTTTTTCGCAGGGTTAAGTGGGGAACATAGAACCTGGGAAACATAGGGATGACCCCAACACAAACACCAGGAAACTGTTTCTGCTAAAGATCTCAATGGCTAAAATAAAAACAAGTTTGTTTTGACCTCACGCGCTCTTGACTTTAGCCGTGTCTCCTTTGGTGTGCTAAGCTAAACTGACAATCAGAATGGTTCCATTCAGTGACAGGCTCCGCCATCTCCAACGCCGATTCAACATGCTGAATTGGCTGAAAAAAGCCGACAAGGGCCGACTTGTGCTAGCCGTGCAAGACACACTGCAAAAACTCACTGACGACTTGATGTGTCAGGGGACTTAGTTACCACTTTCATAGCCTACTTTCTGTTTAATTTGACAGCAAGCAGCCAATTAGCTTAGCTTAACATAAATACAACAAACAGGGGGAAACCGCTAGCTTAGCTCTTGGTCTGTCTGACCGTAACAAAATCCACCAACCAGCACCTGTAAAGCTCATGTTATAGCCTATTGTTTAACATGTATAAAAACCAAAGTCTCAAGCTTCACATATAACA